TACATTCTCAAAAAACACCCAAAAAGCCCTGCAGAGTTAGCAGGTAATTGCCAAATGGCTCTGAGCAAAAGGCCACAAAGAGATTCTTCAAATAAGAAGAATCCCCTAGGGAGCAGGGGTCTAAAACAATAAAAAAAGCAAACAAAAAAGCAACATATGTGAAACCATCACATTTCATCACCTGTTGTTCTAAGAGAAGGTTAGATGGGCCCGAAGGATCATGCTTAATGCATCACCCCTCCTCCACCAGCAGCGGGTTAGGTGCCAGCTATGTGCATCAACTCAAAAAAAGTCCTTAAATTTCAAGTTAAACAACTTAAGTTCTTAATGCATTTGCTGATTTTCCTATTACAGAATATTCTGGCAATGCTGTTATAGTTTAACCTTATAACTTCTTTTAATCCTCAGATTTGATAAAGATTGGAAAAAGTAAAAACAGAAGGTTGCTAAAAGGCTGCTTTCAAAACACACAAAATCCCTTTCTGAGGCACTTCAGATCACAAAACTAGCTATACTAAACTAGTAGAGTCAGATTCTAAATATTGTCTGAATGTATCTATTTTTCAATTTGATTATTTAAGAATATGTGGCTACCGATTCAAATGGTCTATGTCTGAGAAGCCATTGGCTATTAACAATTAAACCATTTATCTATGGAAAGAGCAGTTCTTTTGTTAGTCTAGTAACATCTTTATCAGCACACAAAACACTTCAAAAATTTTGAAATAAACCTCAATTACACAAATCACACTTATGACTTTGAATCACCCCAGATTTAAAAGAAAATATTCATAATTAGCTGTTGTATTTACAAATGTAGAAACATCCCCTTTCCCATGACACATTTACAGAAACCTGTAAGTAAATATAAATATTCAACTTCCCTATCTTGTTCTCTTGCACAGCATTTTAACAGTCCTGTTTTCCTGGAGCACTAGGCCCTATTTGTACTAGGGAAAGGGTGCCTGTTAACTGCCTTAGCTAATATGATCTGAAATACTATTTATCATGTAAAGCTAGTTCGCACTGGTTCCAGTTTAGAGCCACATGGGCAGACACAAGCTTTACCCTACTCACGCTGCTCTGACTGCGGTGCGGGTGTAACCTTTAGGGCCTGGAAATTGCTGCGCATCTCAGTTGCTCTGTAGCACCTTCTGTACGTACTCATCAAGAAAACTGTAATCTCCAAGAAACGTGAAATACTTGAATCCTCAGCAAGGGAAACAAACTTTGAACGAGTCAGGTTCACACTATAGGTGCCGTCTGAGTGGAAAGTGCCCTTCCCTAGCATCATCCCTTGTACATGCCTTACGGGTTAGCCGTGCACTTCTACTTATGATATAAAGATTTTAAAGCTACCAGTTTGTCATTCTCTTCTCTTTCCTGCTGCTCTAAACCAACCCTGAAAACTAAATGAAGAACACAGTTTCTTCAGTTCACTCCAAAATGATGCATCGTTACATACTTCAACACTAGAAGCAGTTTGCGATGTGTGTACTTTTCAAAAATTCTTTGAAAAGTTTCTTCAAAAATGTTTTCCAAATACACATTTTCACTTTATAAATACGGACTGGCCAATTTCATTTCTCACAAAAATGCTTAACATATAACATATTTAATATAAAGAAAGTATTTTTCATGCATATAGGTATACACACACATACACACATATATATGTATCTGTGTATATACAGACAGTTGCATAGCTAGATATACATGTGCAGATATTTAGGGTATCACCTTCTCACATGCACATGGTAATTATTTCTATTTTGCTGATTTCTAAGACTTAATGAGTATTTTAACATGGCATCAAGAATGCATCTACAACTGCATTACACCATGGGCTCAGAGTCAGGTAAATAACTAAAAGGCAAGAGATTTCAGGCCCATTGCAGATACCTAGAAGTGCACTGTGATCTTATGTAGTATACGTGCAATATCACATATACATTAGTGAGAGCAAAGGACAGAGTGAAAGTCTTAACTCTGAATCTCTTTGCTTTTCTAATTCACATGAGACTGAATTGCCATCTGCAGTTTAAAACTGGAACTATTAAAAAAAAAGCAAGCATTTTTGTTGGGTCTCTTCCTGCCTTCTTCTTCTTCTTTTTTTTTTTTGAAGAAAAATTGATATTTTCACCTGCATCTACTGCTTGCGTCTATTTTTATGAACGTCGCAAAGCAATTGCTCCGTTGAGCGCAGTCAAATTTTATTATTGTTGCTGCTCCCTAATGTGAATCACAATAATTCAGGTTTCTCCTGTAACAACAGCTTCATTATCTCCACAAAAATACAGAGATAGATATGCTGATATAGGAGTTACATCTGAAAACCATTACAGGAGCAATACAAAACTCTGAACTTGGATTTAAGTAGAGGAATAAAGGGATAAACTATTATAAATTGCCATAAACACACGCAAAGCTAACAGGATTTATGAACCTTGTGAAATCTTACTTACGCTTCCTTAAATAGGAGGTAACTACTATTTATGGAAACATAAACATGCACCAATCATAACTCATCTTCCATATAACAAAAAAACACTGCTCGCATTCTTAAAATAAGATTTACATCAGCTTCTTACTCTTTCTTCATATGAAATAGCATTTACACCATTATATTTACAATTGCATGGTATTTTTTGAATGGAAGAGATCCTAACCAAAGAAATAAACAGAATGTGTTTGGTTCAATATTCTTCTCTCAATAAGGCCAGGCATACAAAATGACTGAAATAAATGCCACATAGTAACTTGTTAGCATTTCACCAGTGGCACAGTAGTTCAAGTGGCAACAATGCACTTGTAATAAGTAGTTAATTACTGATTTTCATAATTTTTCCAGTGGTTTTTACGTAGTTGCATTAGAGATATTTTTAAGAGGACTCATTTAATCTATTAATAGAAATACAAATAAGCAAACACCGCGTACCAAATGAGAATTCAAGGACAGTCAAAAATCTACAGTTTGAAAGTTTAAGTTTCATGAATGGTCTCTACCAGTTCTTCTTATATCAGCTGAGGCACGTTGCTAGTTGTCTCAACACATAGCAAGCAAACAACACTGCTTCGCGTACTGTACTATCCAAATTTGCGGTAACCAACACATTCCTTTAAATAGGAAGAATATTACTTGTGTACAAGAGCAACATTACTCTTAGGACCTTTACACACCTCCGTCTCTCCCTGACCTCTGATGTTGAGGACACAGTGCCAGAAGTAGCTGTAGTCATGGCTGTGGTAGTGGCTGTAGCATTTACAATAGATGGTGCAACAGGAACGGTCACTGCTGTAGGAATATTGTCCTTTTCTTTCTCAGTACTATCCTCAGCCCACAAACGATTTGAGGTACTATAGCATAACAAGCAGCAACACAAAAAAAGAGAAAAGGAAACAGCTAAACAATGAAAGCACTTTACTAAACATCTAATAACATGTAAATCGAGGGACGGATTTTTTTTTTTTTTTTTTGGAAAGCAAACCGAGAAACATCTCAACTACAAAAGCTCACCTTGAGCTATTAAATTGAAGAAATTAAGAATGAAACAGTTCACAATAACTGAACTTTTATTCTTAACCCTTCTAACATTGGATTTGTTTTTACTAATATGGCTGTTACTTTACAGTAGAAAGCCATTCATAATTTTTGAGCCAAATTGTATAAAATTAAAACAAATTTAACAGGAAAAGGAAAAAATCCAGAACCCCAGGATCTACTAAACAAAAACGCATGCACATACATAAGCACATAGTAGACCTGACAAAAAAAAAAAAAAAAAAACACACCAAAAAAGTGTGTTGGTGCCATTACCTGCTTTGTACACCTGCTGAAGTAGAACCCGTTGTACTCTTTGTAGTAGTGTTTGTGCTGGCAGGCAGTGTTTTCTGAAGACCAGCAGAAGAGGTAACTGTTGATGTAGTACTTGGAACACTAGAACTAATCAAATCATCTTGTCTTCTACCAAAGGAGCCACTGAGGGAGAGACATTTACAATAGAGGCATTTGTATTACCTAATTTTATTCATTAAAATATCAAAGTCTTGAATAATCCATTGAATTCCTGCCTGTCTATTTTGTGTCTCAATCGTACTTTGGAAACTTCTAGAGCAAAAGAGATGTTTTCCAAAGCCATTATTTTTACTACTTCCTTGATCAGGGCTTGTGTTTTATGACTTCAGAGGGCAGAGAGAAGTTTCCATTAGTCCTGACCATTTCTCAGCAGCAAGGGGAGATAGAGAACGTCATCTCAGAGGTATACATATTAATGTCTTAATTGCATCTACTGCAATCTACTGCTTAGTGCCCCTAATATCTCATTTTCAAAATGCTGTTTCACCGACACTGAAGACTTGAGAAAATGCAGAAGTTTACTCCAAAGCTTGTCAGAAAAGAAAGTGTCATCAACACCATTCCTCTTATATCTTTCAACAGATTAAATGTGCTGCTTATTTATTTTTTTTGTTTTAACTCTAATCTCTCCCAGAAAGCTTAACCTCCCACTCATGCTTTCCCCTTGCTCTTCAAGTTGTAAAGGCAATCCAGTGGTTTCCACAATTCTATAAATTGGTTCTGGCTAAACAAATTTTGTATTGCCAAGCCAGGATGCTTTCCCTGTGGTTAAACCTAACATCCCACAGGTAGGACGGATGGAGCATAATATTACTAACTACAAAAGATTTAATGAAACATGCTAGTTTGTCATTCTGCTATTGATCTTTGTTTCTTTTGCTATGAATTCTAAAATGACAAAAACCCCACAGTTAAAGCACTGCATACTATTCAAAAGTGAGACAGCACTGTATATGAGGACTGAAGCATAAATACTGATGAAAGCTAACATCCTCAAAAATTGTTCTCATAAATCAAATGATGCATTTCTGATCAAGAATATGAAATTTGAGCAATACTTCTCTTAAATCTAACATCAGGAAAATGAAATTATGTATTATATGGTATGAAATAGACCACCTGGCACTGAATACGTAGATGTCATGACAGAGAGAAAGGGGAAAAATATTTAAGTACCTGTCACAATGTACCTCATCAGCACATTTCAACGCGCAGCTCAGCTACATGAATGACACACTTTTTATTTTTTTAAATCTATTCATTTTATGATTTATTGTCCAGTCCTGCAAAAACTAACTCCACTGAAGAACTTCACTCAAACAGCCACACTGAAACTCTGGAATGGAGTAAAGTTATGTAATGTAGATATTTGCACGATCTGATCCATTCTGAGAAAATTGTGGGAGATGGCAACCGTGCACATCTGAAAACTATTTTCATATTATCATCATTTAGTTTACATTCCAGTTAGTTTTAGCTTTGTGTGTGCATTCTATGATGTCAATACTCAAGGCAGGCATAGTTATAATCTACCATTATGGAGAGCAGCCCAGGACTTCTGATACCATCATTTAAAAGCAAAACTCAACAGGAAAATATTTTCCCACTTTTCAGATATCAAGCAGAACCACTTCTACTCCAGCATGTAAAACATAGTTATCTTTGGCTACTGAACAAATCTGTAAAGTCAGTCAAACTTCAGACAAATTGAAATAAATAATAATAGGGAAAAGGAAGCATGTAAATTGAATTAAGAGTTGCTGCAACTCTCTATGCTGGTGAAATCTGTGTGCCTTTAAAATAAGCACATCAGCACCATGTCAGCATAAATGCATGTTCTGCAATTATAATAAACAACATTTTAAAATGGCACCATTGAATTTAAACTGCTCTTATAAACTAAAGGATTCAGTAATTAATTCATTTCTCTTGATTTGTAAGCTTATTTTGAAAAACAAACAAAAAAATCCAAAAACAGAAAAGAGCAAGTCCTGTACCTTTTTTGATAACTCGTGTTTAACGATGTAGGACCTTCATTCAAACTGTTTTTCTTCGCATCTTCCTCCCATTTTCTTCTTGTGTATGAACTGCCACCACGTATTGAGCTAGCAGACGAGTCCCTGTAAAAAAATAATGTATTTTTATCAACTCATACTAAAGCAGTTTGTTTTTGATGGGCGCTTAAAAGGAATTTCCAATCCAAGATGAAAAATACGGATAACAAACTCAAACCTAATAGCGCAGAACAACAATAACTTTTAACGGACAACCCTTTTCAAGGTTCTGTGGAAGAATACTACATTCACATTAATACCGTTAGAAGAGTAATAGAAAACAAGTATCAAAACTGTTGAAGGGAATTTCATCTACGTTAAATTAATCATCAGCTTTTAGCTGTGACCATTGCCGGCTTTGTTTTTTTCAAAATAGTGACAAGAGGCTTTTCCATCCGCTCCTGAAATGCTCCAGAGGAACAACCAAAGGAAAACTACTCAGTTGTTTTAGAAGTTAATTTCAGAAGATTTTTCATTTTTGGATGTTAACGATAGGAAGTCCAAAAGCTGACAAGCGTTTAGAACTCATGACACTGTAGACTAGTGTAAACAGGCCCCCAGTCGCCATTCCTGAGTGGCCTGCCGCATATCATTAGCTGCCATTACTTCAGTCATGAGGAATTTCCAGCCTGTTGTTGCAGTTTATAGCAGCAAAAAATAACTTGGTAAAAAAAAAAAAATCTACTTAGGAAAAAGTACCTTAAACACTGATACTGAATTTCTAACAAAAACATAAACACAAGATTTGAAATGAAGTTCAGATAGAAGGAAGAAAGAAATCTGTCTTTCACAAAACTGCATATACAAAGCAATCAGCTGTGCGAGGGAAAACATAACAAAATCTTGCAAAGATTATTTAAGGTGTTCAGATACTGGTCTTCAGGTTGCAGGTCTTCAGAATTTACTTAAAACCTACCTCCTTTTGCACAAAAGAGTATGCTAATCCTCCTGCAGTTGCAAACAATTTTTAAAAAGGATCAAACACAGGCCAGTATAGTATTACCTCTTCACAGCAGAAAGAAACTCTTAATTCTGCGATATTATCTACCATACATCTATGAAGGTCCTGATGGCAAGACAAATTTTTTAATTGCCAAAGGTATCATTTTGCCAAGACACTACAGATTTCAGCACTTTTGCTGCAGAATCAGTCACTCTGCTGAGGCTGGATGGCTGAGATTTGTTTATCTAAAAGCCCAGCAGGGATTCATCTGGAAGTCCTTTGCATTACCCACTGTAGGAAGTTATCTGGATTACATCAGCCATAAGCCAAATAAGCAGGTGTTCAGACAGGTAGAACAAGGATCCAGAAGATCCTTGAGGAAGATAAGCAACAAGGACAGAGATCTGAGACAACAGCAGAACAGAAACCTTAAACTTAATTCATTAAGGTAGCCAACCAGTAGATGGTTAAATTCTACATGCAAAGGAAGTCAGACCAAACGTTAAAAATCTCTTATGGCTTTACATAAGTAATCTGGGCTGTCTCACAAATCATGCAGTAGCCAAGGTATTCGTGCCCAAAGAGGTTGATTATAAGCAGCCTTCATCTCTGGTACACCTGGGAATGAAGAAGGCTCTCGAGTCAACTGCTTGGTCAACACTAGAACAAATGAGACTGATGACTTCAGTTCACCCAATGCGTATTAGGAAAAATATGATTTTGCTGATACCCACTTTTGATTTGGAACTATGTCTGTCGATAAGTCACAATGGTTAAGACTGGCAGGTCAAGCAGGCAAATAAACCTCAACGTTGAAGCAGAATTTAATCCCTTTACAATGCAATGCAATAATAGTTTCTAAGAAATACAACGGCAGTGAAATAGTTCTCTTATTCTTAAGACACCACCTAGTCAAGACACTTTGGAGAATGAGTCTTCAAGAAAATCTCAAAAGAATAAAAAATAAAATAGGAACAACCAATGTTCAAAATAAACAAAGCTGACCAGTAAATTCAACCTTGAAGAAGAACACGGTACTCCCACAGAATGAGAAAGACAAACAGAAAATCTAAATTGCCCTATTATAGAAATAAAGATGAAAAAAAATCGGCCGAGTAACATGAGAGATGGTAACAGATCAAGTGGAACTTTAGGGGTGTATGACATCTGGAATAGCCCTGCTTCAAAACAGATACTGTTACCTAGAGACTGAACTCAGGCAACACTATTTTGAAGAGATAAGAAAAGCCAGGTATTTATCTTGTGCTTGCTTTGAATTCAGCCACTCTCAAGAGTAGCAACAAAAAAAGCTACTCTTCAGATGTAGAGAGGTGTGTCCATCTTAGAGATGATGATTATAATAGCACATTATGAGCAGTGAGAGGACTTTTCAATTCAGGTCATCCAACATTCAGCTAACTGAATATAATTCTATATAAATGATACATCAGGGAGACTTAAGTTCTTTACTATGTACTGTAAGTAAATCCAAGAAACTGGCTGAGTAGAACCTCAATAAAGGAGAGAAGTGAAAAACAAAAATTTTCACAAGGTAATAATATGTCATGAAAGTACACCAAATCCTAATAGGGAACAAGTCTATGCACCTAAACCTTTTTCTTCCTCTTCTAAACTGAAAGCTAAAGTAAAAGTAATAGTGAAGAACGCAAATAGCCCCAAAAGCAGACAGAAGGCCAAGATGTAAACAAGGCAAACAGAAGTGGCGGTTACAACTGCTCTTGTAACTTAGCTAGGATTTTTGTACATCATTGCTGCTGGATGATATGGTTTTAACCAAGGACTGTAATATCACGGCATTTTATTTTTATCAAAAGTGAAAATGGAGCCACAGTAGCAGCACTCCATGGCTCAAGACAAACCAGTAAAAAGCTTTTATTACTCCAATGATTTTAAACTTATGAAACTGTAAAGTAGTCCAAGATTTCGCATTTTTCTTATTTTCTCCCCCAAGATTCAAGATAACATTCATGGTCCAGTTCTGCTCTTGCCATATAGTCGTTTGGATTTTAAAATGAGTTATGATTTACAGGATAGCACACACTTGGGGATTGGATTATGCTATGCATCAGCATAATCTAAGCACCAGGATAATGCTACAAATTAGCATTTTGTCTTTAAATTCCTAAGTTTGCCAGCCACTATAAAATGAAATAATTTTATATTTAACAGTAAGGATAATTTCAGTCACCTATTTTCTTTTTCGTCAATGTCAGAGGTACTGGCCAGTCGTCTTGGTATTGTAGGTGCAACATAGGCAAGTCTAGCTCCTTTTCCATCTTTCTCCTGGAAGATAAGTTGTTTTTTTTTTTTTAGTAAGTGTTACAATCACTGATTATAATTCTAGTGGTTGGAAAACAATCATTATAACTTCAGTCATATTTCTATTATTGTCCCAGTAATACAAATGAGCTTTAATCTAAAGTTCATAAGGACTATAACAGGAATAGCAAACTGCTTCTATTTTCATTCTAGTGATGACAATGACTTGATTCCTCTTGTTTCTGCTTTGCTGCAGTACAACTCCAAAATTCATGATTGAAAGTAGCTTAGCATTATTCTTAATCCTGAAAACATATTTAAACATTTGTACTTGAAACAGAACCACAAAAGTTACACACTGCTCAGTTACCTGTACCAAATTAGTCCTTCAGTTGGTCCAATGTACTGAGTTTGTTTATGTAAGACTATACCTTCAAAAATGACTAAGGAATACAAAAAGATCTTCCTTCTTCTGAAGATTCTTTCGGCACCACTCTCCAAGGGATGCCAAAACTATCAACCCTGTGGTCTCCCTTAAATGTTTCAAATAGTACCACTTAGCAGTGCAAGTTCCAGAAAGAGGAAGGCCCTAGACATGCATCAGGTCACCAGACAATGAAGGTCCTCTAAATAAGCAGAGATGCATACAGTATTTTCAAAGATACTACAAAGAGCTGCACATTTTAACTCTTTGCAATTTTAATAAATAGTGTGGTGTACACTCTAATGACAACATATTACCTTCACAATATATCATTAACATTTATGCTAAACAAAGCAGATCAGTTCTTCAAAATGTTGCTTCACGTTGAAAACAATTACCTTTTCTTTGTTGTCCAACGAAGAGGAGAGTCTAGGGCTTGAAGCGGAACGCATAACACCTGCAGAGTCCTTTTCTTTCTGAGCTTCCTTGGAAGCAGTAATCTCTGCAAGTGCACCATAACTACCAGTTTTTCGAAGCCCTAACCGCCAAGAAGCTGGAGATTCATCTTTCCTCTCTTCCTCTTTGGGAGAAACCTTGGCTGCCGATGTTGGAAACTATAAAACACAGCAGCAAATTAAAAGCTATTAACTTACATTACCTATGGTAATTCATGCTTTTTGTGGAAATTTGACAACACAACTATTTTCAATAATCATAGAAGTGTTGAATTGTTAGGGGTGCTGTGATAAGAGACAACCTACACACTCTTTTCTTCAATTAGTTAATGAGATAAGAAACAGAAGACTGGTCAAGAAAGACTACTCCTCTACGTTAGCTCGGAAAAACCCACACTTTGTAACACACACTGTGATCATGAGATGCAAACAAAGTTTTCACAAACTTAAAAACCATGCAACTCTGGTAATCAACATTTTGATTAAATGTTATTTTGCATCCTGTACACAAACCTGTGCACACCAGAGCCTCACCATAGACTTTTCACCCTTATTGGGCACAAGAACAATGCCAGTTTTGCGCAAGCCCTGCCTCCATGATGCAGGATCTACTGACTCCACCACAGGCAAGATAGGAGGAATGAAATCATACTAAAGCCAATTAAGACAAGACAAAGATGAAGATTGAAAGAATGGAAAATAGAAGTAAAAGGTTGTTTTAAAACCACATAGTTTGTTCCTATGCTTATGTTATGTAGTTCTTCATTACACAAAATACCAAAAAGCAGCAAGATGCTCAAAACCTTAGTAACAGATTCTTATTAAACATAATACAGTATGCTTAAATAATTCAGAGAGAGAATTACAGTTTGCACGGAACAGGAGAACAAAGCCTGTCGACCTAACAAGGTTCATGCCTAAATGTTAATATGGTTCAGAATATTGCAAGATTCACACTACCATATCCCCTATTTTTTTTTATCCTCCTTCGCATTCCCTCAACATCCCTTAATCAAGACTGACATCACAACCTAAGTTACCTATCAAACTAGTACCTTTACTCCCAGCATCCCCTTACTTCAGTATCCTCTGACAGAAAGCAGTAGTATCAACTGCCATATGGCTTGAAGAAAACCAAAATTCAACCTTAGTACACTGCATGTGCACCACCCATGAACCACATATGGTATGGCCATCTAGTGTAAAAGGAGAATCGTAGTAGCACAAATGGCACAAGCCTGAAACGGTAGGTGCAAGAGTAGGTGCAAGGTGACTTATATCTCCCAGTGCTGTTTTACTTTTACTAGTACAAAGCCTTTCTGTTCACTGATATGAACTGCAGCTGCTTCTGTAGATCATAACACATGCATGTTATGTTATGAGGCAACCAATTTAGGCATAAACGTCCATTTATTTTGTAGGTACAGAGGACTTGATTTTTTTTCCACATTCCGCATTATACCAATAACTGCGGTTAACTTTTAACCTGTAGCTTTTACCTTTAAGACCAAACATAAGATTTACCATTATTTACTTCACAAAAAAGTTAAAACTAAATGCCAATGTACTAGTGGTTTACGAAGGGTTTTCAGTCAGCTTAAAAAAAAAATCAGACTTATTTCTTCTTTTTTAAATCAAAATACATCTTTTTCATGTATCATAATTTAATCACGTACAAAAAAATTGTATCTAGTTGATCATTCAACTCTGGAACATCAATCCACATCTCACCTAGCAACAACTAGGCAACATCCTATCACGAAAGGTCATATAACTTAGAATGCTTTCTCGTAATTAAGAGAGAAATTTATTGGAAGGCAAAAGCTAGGAAACTTTGACTGCAAGATGAAGAAAGCTCAGAAGATGACAAGAAAAATGAAGCATTTGAAGGGTTAGAAATTTCAGAATACGAAGAATGCAGAGATAATTAAGCAGGGCACAAAAAATGGGTGGAGAGTACATTGGTTAAACTAACCAATTATCACAAATGCTTTTATTATTACAGTGATTTTAAAAAAAATGAAGTCATATAAAGTAGGCTTATTTCCTTGCAGTAAAATTCACACTATATATTTGTACTCATTACAGTTGAGCAAAATTAGCAAGCTAGCAATTACTCTCAATGTCTTTCACCCCCCTGCCCCCATTTGCTGTGGTTTGCATAGAGAACTCGTGGCTCTTGGGTTCTGTGCAGCTCTTAGCAACCCTAATGCAGCTCCCATGCCAGAGAACCATAATTCCTAACTGAGCCAGCAGGAACTTTTTAGATTAACATCACAACGCCATCCTGAAATCTTGCTGCATGCCCAACCACAAAGGACCAGAGAGGGGAAACAGCAGTTATTCTTGCTAGTGAACCATGCCCGTAACTCCCCTTTCACACGTTTTTTCTTTTAAGATGTATCATGTGAATCTCAGTCATGAAGATTTTTGCAAAGCAGTTCTTCGGATCAGGACGGTTGGCCCACCCTGTAGTTCAGCAGTACCTCACATAACATGATGCAGTTGGGCAATTTAAAATACATTCCCTGCATATACTGCATTAAAGCACACTTCACAAGAGGAATTATCATTGGGTTCTACTGCGCATGTAAAAATACAGCTCCCGTAAGCCCCAGGGAGCTAAACACAATACATACTATTTCCACCAGCAGCTTGTCTTCCCTCTCCACTATGGCTTCTGTCTATCATAGTTTCCATTTCCCATAAGCATGCTTCCTGGAAGCATCTGAAGAGGGTTAAGCTTTGATCATGATGTGTATAGAAAAGTTATAATGGATGATAAAGAAAGCTCTACTGGCTTACTATCTAGTTTGCTTATATACTCTAAAAAAATATTTGACTTGTATACCACCTTCTGACTACACACGTATATCTTTCCTTCGCCATTAAAACTAAAATTCATTCTGATTAACTTCACGTCAAGCTGGAAAAAGCCTCCTGCAAGCAATATGGTCTTGTTGGATGTATTTTTGAAGTTGTGCACTGAATACATCAAGCACCCTCATGGTTCTTCCATGAGGTTCTAACCACAGTGAAATCAGGATTAGGAGCTACAGCACTTTCTTACTTCTTACTTCAGCTATCCCTTTCAACTTCTGCATCTAAGTACTATTTGAACACTCCTAAGGACGCTTGAAAGTTAGGTCGTGCCTGCCTGCCACCCTTTTCTCAAGTACACCACAAATATAGGCACAGAGAGACAGAACAGTAATTTCTGTGCATAAAAGATTTTCAACAGCTGCTCAGTTAACTTGCATTATACTTTAGTCATAACTTTCCTGATGCTGTCTCTTGGAAACTATTGCTCTCCAGATAATTACAGAAAATTCAAGTCTGTTTTTAAAACTCAGTTTTACCTTGCCTGCAGTTATTGTAGCAGATGTACAAATAAAATTTATGTATGCGGGTTTTCGTTTAATGTGTTCCGCACTGTCACAATGTTTTTCCTTTTTTGCCTTTAACTTTAGCTTTTCAGTCTCTTTGCCTCATCATTACAGACTTGCTAAGGACAGTAGATTCTATCTTACAAAGCAAGCATCTTTCAGACATTTCTGAACTACTAGCACTAACACTGAATGGTTTTAGCTCTGTTAGAGATGGAGGCAAAGCTATTTTCAAACTGAAGACAAACAGTAGTCATATTAACGTTTTTAGTTATAAAGCTGCTTAACATCATCAAAACAAAATTTGAATATAACAAGTTCATTAGGTTCATTTAAAACACCTCTCCTAAAGTATGTCATCGTTATTAAATCTAATATGCAATTTCTGGGAAGTTCAAGGAATAGCTTCTTAGACTTCTACAGGCAATTCTGCATAAGCATTCTTTCAAAAAGGTGAATTAAGCAAACAATACTTGGACACTGCAGACTGTACTGATGCAGAAAGTCTTGATAATTACACAAAAACGTACTTTGATATAGTCTGCTCCATTCCAAAAAGTGATTAGAAAAACAAACAGCAAGTATTATGTTATCAACTTAGAGGGCCCAAAAAAGAAGCCACATATGTACCACGTTAAGAATATAGCTCTGATCAGCCCATACTGCTCCAAAAACTGGACACAAGTCCTATGAAAAAAGGATTACCATTGTTTGACTCAAATTTCTTCCAAATGAGTTTGAATCCTATCATCATCATTTTTTTTTTTAAAGTTTATTAACCTTATAATTGATATATTTGAACTAAACAGCACTGGCCAAAATTCAGGAGAACTGTTTCATGGTTCTAAAAAAAAAAAAAAAAAAAAAGAATTCATAGTCCTCACTTGAATAAATTCTACTTTCACTTGCCTTCTACATGCAGCCATGACAGGCTGAAAGGAGAGAGCAGCAAAGAGAGGCTGAGGTTTTTCAGCTTAGCTTTGTTACTGCAATACAACAGGAACAGAAATGAAGCTGCAGAACCAGATCAAATTCAGCTTAACAAAATAAGAAAGCTTGGCCACTTCATCTATGACACTGAATGTCCAATGCAAGTCTTAACAGGTTTAACTGCCTCATCACTTCTTTCTGAAGAGCTACGTTTTCTTTCTCATCCTCTTCTTCAGATGAATTAAAATCAACCTGTTCAATGAAGAACGAAGGACAGAAAAACTAGAGAATGGTTGGGCATTCAATTTCACAGAGAAAGAGGCTGAGATCTTTAGGCCTTGGTGACCTATACTGGTACGACAGCACCTTCTCCAGCGACAGTTCTCAGGATACTGTTCTTGCCCCTGCACTCTCCACATCATACAGTCTCTGTGTGTTACATGGTATCAACATCATCAGACCCAGAATACTCTCCTCTACCACATTAACTCTTATGGAAAAAAATTGCTTTATTATCCATTAATTTTTAACTGTCACACTTTTCAGGAATATGTTCTCAGTATGTAGAAGACAATGGATCTATTTCCAACACGCACTGCCTTGCCTCTCACTAATGAATGCAAAGGAGCCTAAAAGTATGCAGAAAAAAGTAACAAGTTAGCTTGCCTGAGAGTACAAAGCAGCATGGGTGCAAGTGTCAATTTACAATTCCTACTGATTGATGTTTACAAAGGCAAAATGGCAAAGATGACTATGCTTCTAGCATTTCAGACTATTCTAGGGTTCAGTGCTCAGGAATACCAAAAACGTATGCTCTTCTATTCAGCTGATAGTTATAGATTTTTAGATTCTCATTTAGATTCAAAATTATTCACTCAAGTTATGAGATTTACAAAATTTGAACATCATTTCTACAGTTTCCTCCTATTTTAGGAATCTGCATATTTTCTTCAACTCATTGGACAACCCAATTCACTTTTTACATTAGAATCAAACAATTTATGCTCACACAAAGGAACAGAAATCTAAAATTACACAAAGAAAAAATGTTTTATTTTACCTTCTTAACAGGTGATGTAGGTGTTCCTTGACCACCAGTTACTGAAGGCGCTGTCACAGCTACAGAAGCTGATTGTGTACTGGTGGTATTTGCATTATTAGTTACAGCTGCCAAGGGTTTGGTCTTATCTGCAAAATATTGTCAAGATTTTCATTTATAATTTCCTGACTTGTACCACACAGAGTTGAATTTCTCTTTAACAAATCTGACAGTCAACTCTCCCAGCAGCATTTACTACTTACGTTTCAGGATTCTCCCTCTCACTCCCCATCTGTACCTTGGTTTTATGTGTAAGAAAGCCGCCGATGCATATAGCTTTCTTTTGTAATTCAGCAAGTGTTAAATACTCAGAGGTCCAGACGTAGAAGCACAGAATCACTGAGGTTGAAAGCGACCTCGGGAGATCCCCTAAATCAATCCCTGCTCAAAGCAGGGCCAACAGTGAATATAGACCAGGTTGCTCAGGACTTTGATCAGTCAGATCTTTAAAACCTCCAAAGACTCTACATTAAGACAACTTATACATTAGTAGACAGCTAATGACCTTAAAAATTTAATAGTGGAAGGTATGTGCCTTTTCAATAGAAGATGATGCCAATTCAAAGTAAAACATTTATTCTTGGACAACTGTACATGCTGAGTGCAATGGAAATTAACTGCATAAAGAATCCAGCCAGAAACCCTGGCTAGCAGTCGAAGCCAAGACAGGGACTCGCCAGCTTCTGAGTAACAACCAGAGCGCTGACTGGCCATTTGCTTCATCCTTTCTTTGTTCCTTGCTTTCTCCACCTTAGAAAGAGTCACCAGACACTGAAACTTCTCCTTTGTTCTTCCTGCCTACGTTCTTCCCACTGCCCTCCTTCGCTTGAGCACTTTAACCCTTCCTATATGAACATACATAAGTCGTTGCGGTTCGGCTATAACAAGTGCTGTCACTGCACTTCCCTGAGCATCATATCCTTACCCTTCACTTCTGTTTCACCTGTTCAAATTGTACATTCTTCAGCATAGGCTGCTACACCCATGTGTGCAGTACTGAGCAAGATGAGCGTTCAGTCCCCACTGGTTTTGGCCTTACTATAAACATGTCTTTATTTCTACACTACCTATACAATGTAGGAGCAGTTTGTTCAGAAAGGCTGCAATGTTTTCCATACAGTGTTCTCACATCTAACATTCAAATTCAGCAAAGTACCAACCTGTGATTTGAAACTGCATAATTAATACTATTGCTTATAGTTACAGACATAGTTGAGTAGGCATTTTGAATAATTACTTAAGTAGTAAACAAATACAAATATGAAAAACATCAGTTTACACGACTAAGTGTGTTTAATGGAAAGTTCCTTTTAAACACAAGGGGAAATGAATGATCATAAACTGGGTTATGGTGATACTAAGTTCAACAGGGCAACGTGGACTGACAATTTGAATTAAGAAAGGTGTATAAAGGCAGAGCTGCTAGAAATTTGCAAATTACAAATTTGCAAAATACAGCTTAAAGAAGTGCATGGGGAAAAATAACAGGTGAAAGCATGAAAGGGACAGGACAACAGGAAAAAATGGATTTTTCACAACTGTACTCTGAAATTATTTCAAGGACAGGAAGAGCATAGCAGTATACAAGACTGAGCTAGTGCTGAGTAACTTTCAGAAAATATGCAATTATATCAAACAAAACGTGCTCAAAAACCTGAACCGTTAGAAGACTTATTTTTCAGCTTTGCTCCCTCTCCTTTAGGATACGGTAGTTTCATATGATTATTTCCCTGCTTGGTCTTACAGAGAGAAATATATTTAAAGTTGCATTCTCACATAATCAATAAAATAAAATGTAGGTTTTAGGAGAACATTTCAAATATCTCAGCTCATTAGAAACCACACAGTTTACAATTCCTTCAGAATACTGAATAAAGTTAGAGTATTTTACAATCAGAATGCTCCTTATAACCTTAAGGTTTTTCACTAGAAAAACCACCTTAACCTGAATAATGGGAAAAAAGGGAAAATGCAAGCTTAGAGCACTTACAGATGCAGCTCCACAGGGAAAAGCTTAAAGTCTAGCTTGCCAAATAAAGTACGATAAAGCCTTGTTGATATTAAAAAACTCAATGTTTACATAAATTAATTCTTGAGTCACAGTCAAATTTTCCTGGCACAAACTGACTACTGGTAATGAAGAGAACAGAGTCATAAAGTTCAGGAGGCATTACAGTTAGCTCAGTGACTGAGAAAGTACTATGTGATACATATCACAAATGCTCAGAGTTTATCAAACCTCAGTCTCTGTAAATACGGGATGCAAGAACATCAATGTGAACTAGTAACTACAAAGCTAGACAGACTTTTCCAGTTTAGCATTGAAACGTTGGTTTATTCCAAAACATTAAATTAAATTTTAAAAACAAACATACTTTTCTATGCTCAGTGAAAGGCTTGTAGGAAAGGCATGCAAATCTAGGCAGTCATATTGGTGAACAAAGAACATACGGCTAAGCTGTTTGACTCCAACTCTCTTCAACTGTTTTCCCTGTCCATTTCTTCACTCCTTCCCACCTAACTTCATCCCACACAGAATTTGGGCTTAGACACCTCTAAGCATTGCAGAGTCCTATACATAAACATGCAAAACATTTAAAGTCCGCCCAAATTTAGGCTGCATAAAGAAATTTAAACAAGGGCATTCTGCTTATTTTCAGGAGTCTAGTGTAATGCGTCTCTTTGCAGACAACTAACTTTCCAAAAACCATTCCCCTTGAACTGAAGGTGTACATGAAGTAATTGCTGAGCTAATATTAAAATAGCACCTTCGTTTAAAACTAAGTCTATTTCAGTATAGCGATACTGAAAACTAAGTATATACATCATTAGATTACGAGTATCAGTTAAGATCCCCATATCCATTGGTGTTTACTTGAGGATGGCAGGAAAAAGTGACAATGTTTGCTCTTCTGTTGTTCCAATCTCTATGTCAGTTCTGTGAGCAAACACTACTATGAAGACTTCATTTCTGTTTTGCTTCTGATCTTCTAACTTCTTCCACGTTCTTTTGACATGCTATTTAAGGCTTATACCGCTCCAACTATTTCATTCGAGTTATCAAGTGTTAAATTGCTGATCAAACAAGCAGATTAACAGCTTTAACCTCAATAGCCACCAATAAATACATCTTTGTTATGTCTTCATGTCTAAGTTATGACTTGATTTTAGACATATACAAAATTGCTTTAAAATGATTGGAAGTTTACTGAAATGCAGAAAAAGCCAAAGATAAACTTAAGATACTTAACTCTGTATCCTGTGATATTAATACAGTAAAACTATAAAGTAAAATCTTAAAGAAAGTCAGTGCTTCAAATAACATACCTGTCTCTGCTTCAGATTCTGAGTCGTCATCATCATCTTCTTCACTAGAACAGCTGGATTCATCCTTCTTTCCCTCTTCCTCCTCATCTGCTTTTTCATGCTCCAGAGACTCTATACTAGATGCATTCTTTTCTTGCTCCATAATCAAGGTTTCTTTACTAAAATTTCAACAGAAAAGTCCTTACTAAATCCTAAAAAATTACTCAAGCCAGTCAAGTGGGACTTTGTGACAGCTTGTATGTTTTTCATTAAGAGTTTATCATTTGTAATAGTTTACTTACTTCTTGAATGTTTTTTGCGTCTGATTATTATCCATGGCTGTAGATTCAATTAGGGGAGATTTCTTTTCCCGTTTTTCACTATGAAGCTTCAAAAAATAGAGAATGATGCAGTTAAATTGATAGAATGGTATAAATGGCACAGATGTAACAAAATATTAATGGAGAGAGTGCTTCTCCAACTTTTTCAAATACTAGAATGTGTATAAACTCAGATACTCTCTAAGTTCAAAACTCTAACATCTCATAAACTACTTAGTGCAAGTGAGTTGCTTATTGTTGATGCTTCAGATCATAAAATGCTTGCTGGAAGAGGAAAGAGAGACACAGCACCTTTCTTCTTCCAAAGCTTTCTGGTGCACATAATTGACCAAATAAGGGCACAAAAGAATTGTTAAGATGGCAGTGACACTACCTGAATTGAAGCCTCAAATCAAACCTTAAGTTTTATGCTTTAAACTACTTTAAACGTATTACGTATCACAATCATATGTATAATAAAGTGTGTGTGTGTGTGTGTGTGTGTGTGTGTGTGTATACATGCAAAAGGCCTACCAGATTCTGCTTCTTCTGTAATTCTTCTAAATACCCTAGAATATCTTCATCTGCCACATCAAATGCTGTCTGGCCCTGGGGAAGGAGAAAAGTAAAACATCATATTGTACAGCAAAATGTAAACATAATGGATTATGTTGCCTCATCATATGATGAGGCAGGTAAGAAGCATAATCATATAGAGAAATTAAAAAATATAAGCCAAGCTTTATTACAAACTGTTAGTCTGCCAGTGACTGAAAACAGTATCGCATGCTCACTTTTTTGTAATTGAAACAGAAACACCTATACCTGACGAGTAAAACATTTGTTAAGAAATAAAAACATGACTTGTATAAAATTTTAGTTTCCTCCTAAGGGAAAAACAATCAAGGAACAGAAAAGCTATTTGCAAGTACATAATTTTTACAGTATCAGTCCATTCCACACAACTATTCCAGTGGCAGTTGTTTAGATGGACACTCATCAATTCTGTCTTCTGTCCACCTCAGACTACCATATATGGCATGATCTTTTTAAAGCAATTATTCAAATCAATTTATCAATTATTTAAGTAAACTATACAAAATTTAAATACAATCATGCTTTCATATTTTTACAGTAAAACTGTATTTAAATTTTACATTCCGTTTTAGAAAAGATCTAATACAATCATTTGCTGTTGCCTACATAAGAGTGATTTCTATGGGATATGTATTTGAATAAACAAACAGTTCATGAGGTGATAAACAGAGTGATGCTGAAATTTCTTCAGCTTGCCTTATCCTACATCTATAAGGTCACTGCAATTCCTGTCCAGACCGAATGCTCCCAAGACCTGAGAGTCTATCTTAACATCTGAACTGGTAAAGGCTTCAATAGTTCCCTTTCTTCATCTCTACTTGAAAAGGGGAGAGGCTCAAGTTCATACAGTTCCACAAAAAAAGCCTAACTTACTTTGATATCACAATATCATTTTCTGTATTTGGAATTTTGCGTTTAAATACAACACAACTGGAATCTGGGCACAGCCCTAGATCTTTGGTATAAATGCAGCTGCATCATGAACATACTGAAATATTGTGATGATCATGGCAAGATCAGTCACGTAAACACTTTTGTACAGTAGTCAGCAATAACGACTGGCACAACCGTCATTTAAAAGCGGCCATAACAGCCTTCTAAGATAATGAAAGGCATTCGTATTTGTCTCAGTGCTTGTTTCAGTTCAGCAAAACTCTAACTAGAGACAAATATACTGCTAATTACATTGCAAAGGCTTGGGCTTCTTAACTGGCTATGAAGGGTGAACCTTCAAACCACTAGTTTCCACAACCAAAAACGTTCTGCATACGCTCCTTTCTACAAGCATTATCCAAAAGCGCTTGACCCCTCCTCTTTGAGGGGTGAACTATTCCATTTACCATAGCACAGTACTAACTTGGAAAATAATGAACAAAATCATCTCAAATTTATATTTGCGTTATGGCTACAGTTATTAATTTGGCCTTCTAATTTTAGGTATCTATTAAGTGGGTTTATTTCCAAAAACTATTGAGTTAGATCTACCTTCACTCACTTCAATACTTTGCAAAAAAAAATGTTGTAACTGGAAAGTTAGATCTAAGCCCAATCCATAACAGCTAATACCTGAAGCTAAGCACTGGAGCAGTAATGGCTTAGTTCTCTCTGATGCTGAGCACCTATAACTGAAAAAAAAGTCCCGTGGAGTTTTCAGTGTTCATCATCTCTAAAAGCAAAAATGCCTAGCGGCTTCCTGAACAACACAACGGGCAGAACTTTCCTAGCTTGCACAGAAAAGCCAATACACTAGATGAAACAGCTCCTCTGTCCTTTTGCACCTCCTTTATTTTTATTCTTGCCCCCAGTTGAGCTGAACATATTATACAGCTGATATGAGACATTCTGTAAGCATTACACAGGAGCAGAACTGAAGCTATTTAAAATGTAGCTCCAGATTTCATTGATTTTATTATAAGCAACCTAAATTTCTAAGCAAGATGCCTGTTCTTCAACAAAGACTAAAAATATAAAGCAGCAGTAGTTTTTCCCTTTTGTATAGGGAGGAAATGCTTGCTAATTCATGATCTAATTAAGAGCCAGTGTCTGCATATTTCCCTAATTTACTTTAAAAAAAATTGATGAGAAGTTCAATAAAGAATCCACCTTAGAGGTTGTGCAGGAAATTTACATATATAGCATTGACAGAAATTGGAAGCAGATCAGAATCTAGCTGTAAAACGCGGTGGGAAGAGACGAAAGACAGCTTCAGAACTTACACGGTTGAGTGAAAGGTTTCAGCTCCTCATGATGCCAGTGTGAATCATTAAAATACTTTTTATCTGTGGGGAGCAAGATCTTGCAAAGCCAGCAAACTGCATAGGCCTTTACATAAAAGTTGAGGAAATAGTAGTTTAGGAAGCATTCAAGCTATGTCCAGTGAGTCCAGAGGTGCCTGAAATGTTTCCTTCAGAGCACCCAAACCAGCAAGTTGATTTTTAGGAGTTAACAGCAAAAGCTAACGCGCAACACTGGCCAAAGGCATCATCACTGACCTCAGCGAACAAATGGAAAGCCCATACGTAGTTCAAACAAATCTGCCTGAAGCATAAGCCCCAAAAAACATTAACATATGTAGGAAGTCAGAAATTTCAGTTGATCTTTGATCCTTCCTTCTGTTACCTAACTCTATACACATGCCGGTGTACATACGTATAAGCAATTCTAGATCGGTAACGTGTATCTCTGAAATTTCAATAAAACTAATATATCTTGAATTTCGCTCTCTAAGATTAGATCACATGGATCATTCAGTGTAGAACTAAGTGTAAAGTTGGTCCAGACATTAAATTAGAAAATCAGAGAATTTAGTTTTGAACACAAACATGCTGCTTGGACAAAACATGCGTTACAGAAAGCTCCATGTACAGTAAACAGCACTTTATCATCACTTTTCTTACCCTGGCTTCTAAAGTCACTTTAGAGACCAGAACTTTGTATCTTGACAAGGATTACATAAAAATCCTACCACTTTGTTGACAGCCTCCATATCACAAAGGTTTTCCACTAAAATGCGACATGCTTCTTCTTTACCCCAATGAGCAGCAGCATGAAGTGGTGTCCAGCCATCATAATCTTTAATATTTACATCGTAGCGAGCCTGTATTAAAAGCCTAAAGAAATTCGAATAATTTAATGTTGACACTGCTGACAAGAATAGTTAAACTGCCACAAAAATCATGAAATTGTTCCACAGTAATACCCTTCTCCTTTCTCATCAAGTAAAATATGATATTTTAGTTGGGCTATTGTCCATTTATTAATTCTATTTCCTTCCAGAAATATTTGCCTTTTCATTGTTCATCAGGCATATTTACTCTTAAGGAATATTCAGGAAAAATCTACTTTGTTCGTTTCTTCTTTACTCAAAGTCCATTCTTTCCAAATAGTTAGACAATTGTATCTACATGTGCAGTAACAGAATAGCCTTCTTAAAGAAAGGACAGCTGTAGAACATCAAAAATTGTTAGATATACCAGTTATTACCCAGCAAATTACTAAAACCTACTTCTAGTCTAACCTTAGTTGCTTAAAACTAACGGCATCTCCTCTCACTAGCATTCGATGCTGTAGCAAGCCAGTGTTTGCATGCATCAGTTGTCCTCTGAGAGGGAGCAGAGTTCTTCAAACGGAAGATCTGCTCTTCCGTGCACATTCAGCACTCAACTTTGTATTCAGGTACTAGATACAATGAACTGCAATCCCCAGAAAGATTAGCTGGAAGTATGGCTCTGAGGTCAGTGGCAAAGTGGCAAGAGATACTATTTACATAAAACTGCCAGGTCGGGTATTCATCTCTCTGAAAAACATCCCATAATTACTAAAAATCACATCACCATGAAATAGTCTTAGAAATTTCTGTTTTCTCAAGAGCTACTCTTCTTATAGTAATATCCTCCAGTGAGTCAACTTTCACTCAGCTGCAGGCAACCTCTTGCAGTCCTGCATCCTACACAGAGCACACATTTTTTGACAATTCAATACAATCAAGGGCATCACTCAGGTCTGTATTTTTTTCCTCCTTCTTAGGGAAAGGACATGGACCGGACTACATAAAAACACTAACTGACAGAGCTGGAAAAAAAAAACAGTATTATGGATATAACTTCCTTACAGAGACTTGCTGTTCTAAAATAAAAATTATTTTCTTCCAACAGAATTATTTCTCCTTACCATGCTGAGGCATGAGTTTTGTTTTCAAACAGAACTCCCATACAGTAAATTATATGTTATACTAATTTTAAAAGCTCTGTCAATCAACTTGCATGCATACACAAAGCATTACAAGGCTCTGCTGATCTGAAAGGCAGCAATACTGACATAGTGAACACTTCTCATTTTCATTCACGCTACAGTACATAACCACTCCTAGTACTGCCAACACAGCAAAACACATCTACAATCACAGTGCCTGCAATGTAATATTAAGTATGCTTTACACTAAAACAAACTTTGGTAGTAATGAGAATATTAGCTTTTTAAGTTATGCAATTTCACTTTTTTGAAACAGCCATAGTAAAAAAAGTTAAATATCAATTGCATCAGTAATATATACATTCAAGGTAAAATGTAGGATTTTCCTGGACTCTAATTCCAGAAAGTTCAGATAACAAACACTTCTAGCAACCATTAAATGAACATGAGTAGAGTATGCAGCCCTGGAGATGCTTAAACCACTCTGAAATAGCCATTCAAATACCTCAGCAACTTTTTTTTCCATTATGGATTCACAATCTATCAAACTCTCACATAGAATTGGGGCTGCTAAATAAAAATGCATATTGGTTTTTACATTATCAAAGTGATTAACAAGGTCTGGAAAAGAACAATTTTCCTAGTGCGTACCTGCTAAAGACTGAGTCACATCTACTGCCTAAATCTTTTTTTGTCCTCCAGAAAAGTATGACATGTATTCATCTATATATTTTCAAGCTATTATATGGCTTCAAAATAAGACATCTATATCTCTAACATACTGGTCCAAAATTATTTTTAAATGTAATGAAATTCCACTAAAAGCACAGTTTGATTTTAAAAAACAAAAAAAAGAAAAGAAAAAAGGGGGAAAAAAAGCTCTGTTATATTATACAATACTTGTAGTACTGTATTACTGACCAGTTGTGTGCCAAACGGGGGAGCAAAAGACTGAAGCTTTCCAGGGAAGACTTCATGAGTCTAGAGTTTCTACAACTATCTCATCAAAAAAGTAAAATGAAATTCTCTGTTGTTTCAGGTCTGAAAAGCTTTAGTCTGGATCACAGACTCTGTTTTATGTATACAATTAAATACGGTGTCTTGAAAACATGCTTATTCCAAAATGCTAATTGGTATTATAAAAAGGTATCAAGTTTGCTTATATAGCCAGCTTTAGAAACAGTGAATGCTTTTTACCATTATCTTTCTTCTTTTAAATAAGTATTCAAACTCATTATGCACACTGTCTTCACATTTTGAATGACCTAACAGCAGCATGATTTAAGAATGCCTGGCCGCATAAATTGAAGCTTTGAGGAAAAGATGGTTCTAGAAATTGTAATTTTCCCAAGATACAATCCCCAAAAGCAAGAAGTGTCTAATCCTATCAATTCCAAGCAGCATTATATCAATAACACAATCAAAGAGGAAAATCTCCATTTAAACCATACTTACTTTAAGACTTCTGTATAGCCCTTAGCAGCAGCTACATGAAGTGCTGTACCACCAGATTTTGCATGCCTGACATCATTGATATGGCCGCTGTTGAGCCACTGCCTTGCATCTCTAAGCATTATCCGTTCTTCTTCTTTTCGAGCTGCCTCGATATCAACTCCTAATTGAGGGGGGGAGGGCAAAGAGAGAACAGAAAATGCTTTATTTCAAGCACTTAAATTCAATTATATAACCAACTTATACCATGCTTAAGTGATACAATAAAAAAATAACAGTGAAACAATCTGATTAACATTCACAGCAAGACACACATCTCCTTCTGAAAACAAACCCCAAGACATCATGGGAACATCCACTGTAGCATCAGTATGACATTCTCTATACATAATACAGTTTTCCCCTAAAGAAAAAACTCGGGAGACTAATGTTCTGGCACTTCGTAAAGGTAAGCTGTAAGTAGGTCAATTGAGTGATTAACACTGTGATGATGGAAGTTCTTAAAACTGGAGGGCCAATTCAATAGCTTTCTTTTGTCTCATTCATATCTGGTTACACAAAATACAGAAAATAGCTACAATACTATACGATGCATGACAATTCTTTTAAAATACTAGACATTAAGTAAAAATCACACTTCTGCGGGAAGAGGAACAGCCTAGCTTCTGAACACTGCTGAATACTTACGAGCAGGATAGAATTATACGTTTTATGCTTTCTAAAAAAAGTTCTGTTTAAAAAAGTTTACCCTCAATCACTGAAACAGAGACGGTCTCCCTGAATAGCCAAGCCTTGGGGAATCTCCCTCGTGTCTCAGTTAAAAAAAAAAAAAAAAAAAGCAAAAAAAAAAAAGCATTTTTTATATCGGATGTCTCACCAAAAATTATCATAAACTGATGAATAGGGAGAAACCCAATATAACATTTACCAGTTGACACAGCAGTTTAAACAGGGAGAACAAACAAAGAACAAAAAACAAACCCAAACCCTGAACGGACAAAGCAAAGCGGGTAATTGTGAGCATTTTTTATTTGTCACTACAAGAGGAGATCAGAAGAACATAATACGAGAAAGGGTTTTAAAGATGACTACGCACGAGTACCGTTCTAGTTATGCTGACTGGACTCTGAGTCCTCTGCAAGGAGAACAGATTTAGAAACCGTGGTTATCAAGAGTGTAAACTATAACTGGGTTAACCTCTAACAGAAAGCTGCTCTGTGGGCCAACCATCAGTAAAAATCAGATTACGTGCATGATCCATCTAATCTTACGCACTGGTATGGAGGATCTTGGGAAATATTTACCGTTCTACTGATTCTAATTTCTCTTGGGGCACAATATAATAATTTTGACTTTTATAATAAAAACAAGTGAAATTGATAAACAGATATTGATTTGCTAGCCACCCATAAAACACTAAGTTTCAGCAGTAGCCTTTATAACCTATAAAACAGCAGGTAAGAGAATTTTTTAAATCCTGAAGAGACAGCTGCAAAACCTCTCCTGCTCTCTGGCTTACAACTAATTCCACCTTCTTTCAGTATCTCTTGCTGAATCTTCACCTGTCCCCAAATTGTTTTCCTCCAGCAAACGAGTTGCATCACATAACTCTCCTACCTGTCCAACTACATCAAAATAAAGCAGACCATAAACAAGACTATGGGAACCTAGGGTATCTCGTCAACCCTGCTCTACACAATGAATTAATTTTAATGTACTGTCCGAAATTGCTTTCGTGATCAAGACTTTGACTCTAACATCTTTAAAGCAAGTAAGCCATTCCTCCTTCACAGGTTGACTGAATCCCCAGAATGCCAAACTCAAACAAAATCCAACTTGACTATTGCCCATTTAGACATGCAGCAGAAACTGAGCTAAGGGATAAAATGGCCTTTATTAAAAGAGTTATTAACAATAGGAAAGGCAAATACATAGATAATATATAGATAACATGTAACGCAACGCATTATTTCTAGTATATAACATATGATAAAACCGATTACAATGGATTGATTGATGAAGTTACATCAATCCACTTGCAACTAGAAAGTCAGACTAAAAGCACTGCAATGTGTCAATAAACTGTCGAACCAAAAGTAAGAGTACTAGCACTGCTGAAATCCCCTTTAGGCAATGGATGACAGACTGAGATTTCTAGTAGGCTAAGTATGAATTAGTAGTACTTCGATTTTGGGGGAAGGGGGGGGGGGAGAAATAAAATAAAATTTTTCTCACTGAGAATTCCTACGACTAAATTAGGGAATTCTATTGTCATAACTAAAGCTGCCATTCCCACATAACACAGACAAAAAAGATTTGCAACAAGCCCAAATCAAAATTTCACTGAAATATAAACAGAATAAGTGTAACGATAACATGCTTTTTTAAACTTACCTGTGATTTGTTTGGGTTTTGGTAGCATATGACAACATGATACACGCCTTTTTCATCAACGAAAATGCCTGTGCTATTATAATGAAGCTGTAATGCCAATTTCTTCCCTTTTGGTATACATATACAAACAGTGATGAGACCTAACTCTTCTTCCCAAAGAAAACTAACAAGAAATCTTCACACTGCAAACTGTTCCCCCCTCCCCACCAAAAATACTTAAAAGTGCAAATTATTTAAGAAATAATGTTAAACACTTCAATATTACATGTAACTTCAAAACACAATGAGGCTTTTATTTTCATTCCAATTAGTTACAAGCTTCATTTAAAAAAAAGAAGTAAAATCTGTGGAAGGCTTTTTTTTTTTTCTGCAGTCAAGTTAGAACGTATCAAATATTTCCATGGCTACAAACAGGTTAAAAAGGATCTAACTGCAAGAAATACAAAGATCTATCCGAAAAAAATATTCTGTTCAAATAAGTAACTCTGTACAAATAAGTAACTTATGTTAAGATCAGATTTATAAATACTTCCTAAAAAGATATAAACTTTAGTAACTATTATAAAACCGATACAGATAATACATTGTTTTAAGCAGTATACTGAACTCCTAGACTAATCCATTTAACCCACTAAAATCAATCATCTCACTCTTTGCAATTTATTTAGTTAAAACTCAGAAAGTTTTATCGGAAATTGATGAAAATCTAGTGATTGTGAGGCTAAGCCTGCAAGATGCAGACCGACACAAGAGACTGTCGTAGCACTAAGCAGAGCCTTAGGAGAAGCTAAAATGTACTTTTTTGAAAGAAGCTGAGGTGAAAAGTAAATAAAGGGAAGTTTCTCTAACCATCTCTCTCGAGACAGCCCATGACCACTAAATCTGAACAGAGATCAAGTTTCACATATCTAGTAAACTTTATAACTCGGATATACAGAATGAAAACCAGAAACACTGAATCAATAAAGCATTTATAATCATATATTCCCATTCCTCCAGAAGATTTTAAACATTGTATATATGAACTATTATAAACTGTAAAGTCTTTGGGCCTTTGTATTTGATTTCCTTCCAGAATGACACAGCAGATCATCCCTGCACTGCAAGTTCACACATTACACAGTAACTGCCAACAGCCGCTACCATCAAGACCATCCCAGTGAGGAAATGCCTCTCTGGGGAAAATTACTCCGGAGCAAAACCATTTGCATTTTAGTATTGCCTGCAAAAGCACCATTATGCAAGCAGAGAGTTTACACTTCATCTGTTAATCATATTTACGCCTGTCCCCTTTTGGCATGCCAGGGCTCAGTTCTAACAGAAAACAACTCTTCGCATGAGCAACTTTCTGCACCTGAGCGATTCTACAGAAATCCTATCAACGCAAAATTGCTCATGTGCGTGGCTCTTAGTTTCAATGCGCTTTAAGCATAAAGAACGTAACAAGGAAAGTTCCTCCCAAAGCCTGCTCTTGAATTTCTAACGGCTAATGTCTAAGTGCACTTTTCACTACACCAAAAAGAATTTGTCAAGAAACAAAAACAAATAAAAAAAAACCTAAAAACCACCCCTCACACACCAAAACACTACAAAGCTTTTGCGGAAAAAGAAACGAATATCAAATACAGACTTCTGTCAGTATTACTAACACACAATTTGCTGATGCCCAAACAGGATACGATGACTGCAGAGGACTAATGGCTGCACCAGTATAACATTGTTTTTGAAGCATGACAAAACAGTAAATTCTGATCATGTTTCAGCAGATAAACATAACAGAAGGGTATGATTCAGAAAAAGATACGTCAGTCTAATTAAAACATCTCAGAGGAATAAATGGCACCAAAATGGGAAATGAACTTTGTGTCATAGGATGAAAAGAGGCCCTTGGAGATAAGCCAAATAATATTTCCCATTATTAAATGCAGAAATTAGAATATAAACAGCCTTTATTACACCTTATATGAACTCTCCTCCTTGCTTTTGTTTTCAAAACTCTATATTAAAGATATCAGGAAAAAAGATACTGCTCCTCACACATGTCAAACACTTTCTTCCTATGGCCCATAGATGGCAATGTGCTGCCTCTGAGCTCAAGTTCATTTGGAGCATTCATTTACAATACCAGGAAACTTAACCTCTAACAGGCCATCACTTCTTAAATCATTAGTAGTTTATTGCTAAATGCTCTCTCTCTTTTTTTTTTTTTTTTAAAAAAACAACAAGTATTATCCAACATTTCTAAGCAGGTTCGAAAATAAGATGTCGTTCAATGAACATTTAATGAAATTAAACATAGATTTATATGCTGAATCATTGTTTCAGCACTCTTCAGCCATATAAAGTCATGTTCTACAGATACTGCATGGGAGATCAACCGACTTTTTACTTCATGTAATGAACGTTTATATACACATGTAATAGTTTGCATTTGATCCATGTAAACACAGTTGAGCTAAGCAATACATCAGAGAGATACTCTCTACATTTACCTATAATTAAGAATGAGGAACATTTGCTTATCCTTGAAAAGTGGGAAGTGCTCTCTAATATAACACTGAATGGCCCCTACACTGTATCATGAATTCTCGATTCACCTCATTTCACCTCTCCCCACTAACTCACCTCCCGAGAATGTTTTCTAAAACTTAAAAGAACTACTTAAGCAGTTAAAAATAATTTTAAAGGGCATCTGATGACAAACAGCCTTCCACCACCGAAAATTGCTTCCATCCATAACATTTAACCCTACTCAAGACGCGAGGAGAG